ACAGGTGCCTAGATACCCCTCCCCATCCCTCTGCCTCTTCCCCTCCCCTCCCTTCCCCCCCCCTCCGCCCCGGGGTGCTAATACTCTTCTTCCACTTGGTCAAAGCCATGGTAATTACAGTTCATAAAGATTATGTTGGAGCAGAGAAAGAAGTCAGGCCAGAGCAGTTCTAATCAGACACACCTCTGAGCACAGGAAGTGGCTAATTACAGGCGATGCTGCGGGATCTTCCAACCCGTGTAGGAAAGATTGCATTTCTTTCTTGGTCCAGTCTCAGCTCCAAGCGAATGTTACTTATCCTAGCTTTTGGGATGCAACAACTATGGTAATATGGGGTTACTAATCAAGACCGTGCCACTGACTAGAACACCACATTCCTGACATCTTAACTCCCCAAGACTGTGACTAATAACTTTAGAAAGTGATTGGCTTTAAACGTGACCACAGTTCATGTGCTGGGGCTTCCCTTGTCAGGTCTATCAGGATTTCACACACACTTAGATACGCTTGGCTCTGGCATGCAGATGTGAAAGGAGAAAAATAAAGTGTGAACTTTCCTCTTTGTGACCTAAAAATAATTTATACTTCAAAACTTCTCTTTTAGTCTAAAGAATTATCTGAAATAGGGAGAAGGGACAGTGTTTAGCTCAAGCATGTGCAAAAAATGAGCTTATTTTGAGTTCAAGGGATGTTTCTATCCCAAAATACCAGGCATGCTCCTTTCCTGCAAGCTAATTGCTTCCATGTGCATAGGGCGTCTGCCATGTGCAGGCACATGGAGTGTGTTCGAATGTTGTATGTGCACACATGTACTAAGTAGATGTATAAAGGATGAGCTTCCCCAATGAAGGAGGTTATTATCTAGTCTGGAATTTGGGTGTTCAGTGCAGGAATCCTCATTCCAAGGGGGTATGAACCAGAGAAGGATTGACCTGCCCAAGCTTGGGAGAGAACTCAAAAATATGTGCCATAAGATGTCATTGAAGGAGCTAGAAGTAGTTAATCCGAAGAGTTGAAAACTGAGAAGAGGACTAGGACACAAACGACGATTTTATGTTCATCAGTTCTCTGATTAGAGAGTAGGATGCTAAGAACCGAACTGGAGATAAGAGTACCTGCAATTGTCAGTTATCTGGGTGGAAGTAACTATTGAAGGATTAAGACCTTAGATGATTTTTCCTCTGAAGGGCGTTACTAAACTTCCCAATGATATATGCATTAGAGAACTCTTCTCAGGTGACTATTGTCCCATTAATCCTAGGTCTTAGGTTCTAGCTCTCCTTGGCAAGTTGGCAGTTAGGAATTCCTGTGCCCAGAGACCGGCTTTAGTGGAACTATGCTTATCTATTTTCTGTTCAAGATATTCTAGAGAATCTCATCATTTTCTTTTCATTCTTAGCCTGGAGTTAGGTCTCTCCCTGCCTCTGAGGTTTATGACTCACTAGTGGGGCATTCTAGTTAATAGCAGGGAATCAGAGAAATGGAATTAAAGAGGAAATAGGGAAGTGGGGTGGGGGGAGTCTACAGATTGGAGATAATGGAGTTGGGCGAATCTGGCCATATTGGAGACATACATGGGATGGGAAGCCTTTAGAGGGGATGACAGACTCTAGGCTCAGGGTCCCTCTAGCTCACCAGATTTCCTATTCCGTAGTTGGTGATCTCTGGCTCATTTGGGATCATGGGAGACCAGCCCATTGGCAACTCAACTGGAAACCACTGGACTGCTGACCCTCTGTAATCAAAGGGGCCTGCCCAATGCTGTGGCATGACATGCCGCCCTGAGCCCTCTCCCACCCTGGGGAGGCAGTCCCAGTCACACTGAGTCTCCTCCCAGCCCAGTGGGAAGGAAGCTCAAGGAGGCCAGAGTTTCACTGAAAGGTGATAAGCAGAGAATGTTTGTAGCCCAGCTCTAATACCTACAACAGCAGCAACTTGAGTAGCTTATTTGTTCAGGGTTTTGTTTATTGGTTTGGTTTTTTGCTTTTGTTTGTTTTTTATCATTCTGCTTATTGAAGCTTGGCTGTATGGACACAAAAATATAAACTACACTTTATCCTCAAAGTCCTGGAACTGCATGGGGGGAGGGGTGCAGGTACGAACTCATGCCCTAGAGCTCAAGCACAGGTCCCCCAGAGGAAATCTGGACAGGACTCTGGCACTTACGAGGAGAAGGGAGCAGTGGGAAAGGAAAAGAGTCCTGGTAGGCTTAGGATACTCTCAGTGAGTAGGGGCGAAGCTCAGTGACTCAGCCCTGTGCTGATGTGAGCCGTCAGAGCAGAATGGCAGGTAGGAGTGAGAAAAGAATGACATGACTCTCCTAAAACCCATGCCCTCCCCACCTGGATGGAGTTTTGTTAACACTGATGCGTGGCACATTGGCAGCTTCAGAATATGTTTATTGCTTAACCACCACTGAAATCCAGGAGCTTTTCACTCCCGTAGTGGGCATCTGGACATGAAGGAGACAGTCTCCATCCTCGCTGTCTCTGGTCATCCCTGCTTCCTCCTTAGCCCAGTTTTAACTGTCCCTTCTCATGACCTTCCCTAGCTCCAAGAAAATGTCCCTTCTCAGACCCAGAATGTCTTGACAAGGGATTTGTTTCCCATCTCCGTTTCCTTAGGGATGGCAGACTGTCCTTAGGAGATGAGCTGCTGGTAATCAATGGTCACTTACTGGTCGGGCTCTCCCACGAGGAAGCTGTGGCCATTCTTCGCTCAGCCACTGGAATGGTGCAGCTGGTGGTGGCCAGCAAGGTAGGTAGTCTTGGCTTTTCATATTTGTAATGGTGGTGGTGAATTTGGACGTGAGCCCTCTCTATGCCACACACAAACGTGTGTGTGCACTTGTGCATTCACCTAGGGCCATTCAGAGAGCCAAGATTCTACAGAGCGAGCCCACACGGAGCCCCTTAGCTGAAGTGCATTTAATTATTTTGCTTTCCTTTAAGATTCTTTATAGACTGGGACCAGCAGCTGGCATAATGGCTATGTCACTGGACTCCCATGTAGTTGACCATGGTTTGAGTCCCAGACTCAATGGCTTAAACTCATGCCAGGTGTGTGTGTGTGTGGGTGTGTGTGTGCCCAAGATCCCAAGAGGAGAATGGAGGAGAAGGGATTGCAGCATAGCCATCCCCCCTGAAGGATGATTTCTTGTTTTCTGCCTCTCTGTGTCTTTCTGGTGAGCACACACACCTATAGCAAAAATGTCTCAAAAAAAAAAAAAAAAAAAAAAACTTTATAGGCAAGGAAGTAGAAAAGAAATGGTACAACCAAGGAAAAAATGAGGATAGTAAGTTAAGAACAGTAAAATAAGGGAAGCCAACCAGTGGCATGGTAGTTAAAGTAGCTGGATCACACATGGCTTACTGCATGATTTGAGTCCTAGATGCAGTGGCTTAAAAACCATGCTGGGTGCATACGCATGCATGCCCCAAATCCAAAGAGCAGAATGGAGAAGGGATTGGAGCATGCAATAAACCCCTGAGGGGTATATTCTCACTTTCCCTGTCTCTCTCTTTCTCCTGTAAGTTCATGTACCCTATAGCAAATTATTAAAAACAACAACAGCAACAAAAAGAATGGTAGGGTAAAGGCAGTTCTGTGGTTTATGACAACGTGCTGCTCAGTAGAAGCCAAATTCCCCGTGGCAGCTGTAGTTCAAGTTCCCAGCTGGGTCAGCCTGAAGAAAGCCAAGCACATGCACAAGTGCCCAAAACCGATAGGCTGCAGGACTGGAGGAAGGGGATCATGGCATGACCAGACCCATGGAGGGTGTTCCTCCCACTGTCCATCCCTCACGCCTCTGTCTCCCTCCCTCCCTCCCTCCCTCCCTCCCTCTCTCTCTCTCTCTTTCTCTCTCTCTCTCTGAAGGAAGGCAGGCTTGGGTCCCAGGGACTTCTCTCTCTAAGGAAGGCAGGCTTGGGTCCCAGGGACTGGTCATGGACCTGATTCCCATTTGGGGCCTCACGGAATGCTGGAACTGAAGGAAGCCTGTGAGTCCTGCATCCCCAGTCCTCCTCCTCCCGTTTTTCCTCCCCAGATTTACCACTGAGCTATTGAGCAGAGTGTTCATGGCTGGATACTGGGTTGCCTTCAGCAGGTACGGGGCGAAGGCAGGCTTGGGTCCCAGGGACTGGTCATGGACCTGATTCCCATTTGGGGCCTCACGGAATGCTGGAACTGAAGGAAGCCTGTGAGTCCTGCATCCCCAGTCCTCCTCCTCCCGTTTTTCCTCCCCAGATTTACCACTGAGCTATTGAGCAGAGTGTTCATGGCTGGATACTGGGTTGCCTTCAGCAGGTACGGGGCCTGGGCTGCTATTGCACAGCCTGCTATTGGTCCCTGTCTTTCTGTCACCTCATCTTCCTGATTCTCTCTGCATGGGCTCTGGGCTCAGGGTGGGGCTTCTTCCACCACCACCCCACAATCCTCAGTGTGTTCATGCAGGGCCTGTGTTCTGGGCCCCCAGCCTCTGCTTTCCCAGCCTGAGAAAGGGCTGCAGGTCTCGACAACTATGATGAAGAATAGGTGACGTTGACCTCTCTGATGACTGATCTGTCATCTGTGCTTTTGCTGAGACTGAGAGTCCACATGCCTAGTAAAGTGGCAGAATCCTCTTGATTCTGGCAGAGAAGCACCAGTACAAGGCCAAGGCCACAGCAACCCTGCCCTCTTGCCAGTGTGGATCGTTCGTTTTCCATTATCCCTGCTGTCGTCTTTGACCCTGGCATCTGTGGCTTTTATATAATTCCCATCTAAGAAAGCTCTATTGGGGTACTAGCAGTTGGCATAATGGCTATGTCACGGGACTCCCATGTAGTTGACCACTGTTAGATTCCTGGACCCGGCGGCTTAAACTCACGCCAGGCATGTGTGTACATGCCCAAGATTCTGAGCGGAGAAGGGATTGCAGTGTGACCATCCCCCCCGGGGGTGATTTCTTGCTTTCTGTCTCTCTGTCTCTGTCTTTCTGGTGAGTGCACGCCCTATAGCAAAAACCTCTCCAAAAAGAAAGAAAGGAAGGAAGGAAGGAAGGAAGGAAGGAGGGAAGGGAGGAAGGAAGGAAGGAAGGAAGGCTTTCTGTCTCTCTGTCTCTGTCTTTCTGGTGAGTAAGGAAGGAATGAAAGAAAGAACGAAAGAAAGAAAGAAAGAAAGAAAGAAAGAAAGAAAGAAAGAAAGAAAGAAAGAAAGAAAGAAAGAAAGAAAAAGAAAGCTAGCTCTATTGGCCATTTTTGGAGTATTTATCAAACAGGTTAAATAAAAACATGGAAACTCCTGCTTTCCTCCCAGTACACCTTTCAACCCCATACCTCGACCCAGACTCTGAGTCAGCCAAAAAGAAATCTGTCAAGACTTGGTGAAGACTAGGCAGGAAGAGGAGGCACCTGAGTCCCTGGCAGTGGGAAATGAGACCATTCTCCATTCCAGGGGCCTTTCCTCCCCTCCCAGAGTCCCAGGGGGTGCACTGGGGTCCTCTTACATGCACTGAGCCCCTTCCTGCCTGCACCAGCATTTCTGCCTGTGGGCTGGATGCATCCCTGTAGTGGGAATCAGGAAGGAGAGCAGAATCCGGGCTGTTCTGCTCAGTCTGGTGAATTCAACAAGCAGGAAAATGCTGCAGCGGGAGGAGAAACAGATGCTGGTTTGCCAGGTGCACTGGGGTCCAAAAGCACTATCAGTCCTACACACATGGGGGCCTGTGTGTGCAGAGAGCACACCTTTGTTTGTGCAGCCCTCCTCCCACCCTCGAGGCCGAAGAACACGGGCTTTTGCATAGGCGTTAGTTACCTGAGGTGCCACCACACCTCATTTCTACACTTGATCTTAGCTGAAACACTGAGAAGCCACCAAACCTTCATTCCTGTGCCGCCTTCGTTCTCCTGCTAGTTTGGCCCTTGTCAGGCCAGTATCTACAAACATACCCCGAGAAAACCTGAGGTAAACAATGGAAACGGGCCACTCCTGATCATTTGTGGGCATACTGAGGATTCTGAAAATGAGTTTCTGGGTGAGGCCTGCTGATAGAACGCACCAACCTAAAGGACACTGTATGTAGCAGGTGCCCACGGGGACCAGATGCTTTTTTACCTATTATCTTCATAGTGCTTTAAAAAAATTTAAAAAGGGACCAGCAGTTAGCGTAATGGCTATGTCACTGGACTCCCATGTAGTCGACTGCAGTTTGAGTCCCAGACCCGGGGGCTTAAAACTCACACCAGGCGTGTGTGCGTGTGTGCCCAAGATCCCGAGAGTAGAATGGAGAGAAAGGATTGTGGCGTGGCCATCCCCCCAGGGGTTAATTTCTCGCTTTCTGTCTCTCTCTGTCTTTCTGGTGAGTGCACGCACCCTATAGCACAAACCTCTCCAAAAAATAAAAGACCCGTGAGGCAGGTATTAGCTCTTTCTATAGACAGAATTAAAACCTATTCATTAGAATCAGCCCCATGGGTAAGAGAGCTGGATTCCACATGGCTGACTGTGGTTCAAATCCAGCTTGAGAAACACACTAGGCTTGTGTGCATGCATGCTCAGGACCTTGACAGGATGGGGAAATGGGGAGAAGGGATTGAGCATGACCATGCCCCATGGGAGGGGGGGGTGCTTTTTCATTCTCCATCTCTTTCACTGTCTGTCTCTCTTTAGTGAGTGCACACATCCTCTGGAAAAAAAATCTAATCATTAATTAACTTGCTCCAGGGTCACACCTGCAGTAGATAGGCAGAAGCAGGTTTTCGCCAGATCCAAGGTTTATATTTCTTCACGTACACCAAACTGCTACCTAAGCACATAAGATATGAAGGACACCAGATCCAATGGTAGTAGAAAAAGATCACGGGGGAACCAGCAGATGGCGAAATGGTTACATCACTGGATTCCCACAGAGTCGACCACGGTTCAAGTCCTGGACCTGGTGACTTAAAACTTACGCCAGGCACATTTGTGTGCATTCCCAAAATCCCAAGAGGAGAATGGAGGAGAAGGGATTGCAATGTGGCCATCCCCCTGGGGGGGGGGGGTGTTGATTTCTCATTTTCTGTCTCTTTGTGTCTCTCTCTGTCTCTCCACCAAGTGTAGGCACCCTATAGCAAAAAAAAAAAAAAAAAATCATTTGTTTCTGTCAGGGCTTGACTTTTAGGGCCACCTGCTGGATTCTGTGCAGGGCCAACCAGCATATTCTAGAGCCAGAGAATGGGTGTCCATTCTAGGTCTCAACCCACTGGGCACTGGCATCCGTACTGAGCCGTAGTCCCAAAGCTGACCCAGACCACAGCGGAATAATGCCTTTGCTGCTTCCATGAGCTCCATCTCCAGCTGGGCAGTGAGGTGCCACAGCAGCTGCTGCTGCTGCTTCTCGAGCCAGCTGCACCACCAAGCTGCTCATCCACGTAGGAGAAAAGGGGTCAACCGCGGCATCTTGCTATGTGTCCCTCTTCTCTATCCAATAAAAGCAAATAATTCACAGGCTTTATTTCTGTCTCCATATTTGAAAGTGGAGGGAAGAGCTTTTGACTTGCTGAATAAAAAGAATAATAAAAACGTGAATTATTGGGCCAATCAGGTGGTATGGTGGTTAAGGTGGCTGGATCCCATATGACCAACTACAGTTTGAGTCCTGGACCTCATGATTTGAGAAACACATCAGGCATGTGTGCATGCATGTCCAAAATGACTGAGACAAAAATGGAAAAGGGATTGTGGTGTGGCCACCTCCCTGGGAGGTGATTTCTCACTCTCGCTTTCTCTCACTCACTCTCTCTGTCTCTCTCCAGCAAGTGCATGTACCCTGTGGCAAATATGTGAAGAGAAAATGTAAATTATTGGTATTAGTGATAATAAAAGAAAAAATGTAAATTATTGGTATTAGTGATAATAATCACCTTGTCACAGAACTTTCAGACATTGTTTTGGAAGTACAGCACTCACTTTCTTGGGGAGAAGATGGCTCATGTTTCCACACAGACATGTCGTGTGCTATTCTATGAGCTTAGAAAGTTCCTGTCCAATTCAGAAATCCAAGTTTGGTCTGGTATTCCTAGAAGTAATACAGATTCTCTTGCAGGCTTTATTTTTTTCTTTTTTTTTCTCTCAGTTTTTATTTAAAAGTCAGATGCATTTATTACAGCTAATGTATTAAAACCATAAAAAAAAAGTAGAGAAGAAAAAGAAGATAAATTTTTTGGAACATCATCAGTAGTTCTGTCCATCACGTGTTGGGTCTTTTCAGCCAGGAGCACATGTGTGTGTGCGTGTGCACACACACGTGCACACATGTTTTCTTTTAAAAGGACTCAAACACAGAAGAGAGGATAGTCCCACCTGGGCTTCATGTGACAGCATGGCACTTTAAAATCTATGTAACTGGGACTGGGACCAGCCCAGTGCTATGTGGAGGGAGCCCGATCCCATGTGGTCAACTGCTGTTTGAATCCAGACCTCCCCGGCTTGAAAAGTACATTAGACACAAGTGTGTGTGCCCAGGATCCTGATGCGCAAGAAGGAGGAGAAAGGATTGCAGCATGACCATGCCCCCCAGTGGGGGTCTGCTCCCTCCCTCCCTCTCGCACTCACTCACTCATACACTCACTTTTAACAATGAAAACAAGAAGCCATTTATATCCTGGGCCAGTCGTAATCTCTCTCTAAAGTGCAGTTTTCTCCTGTGTACAGTGAGAATCAGCACCTACCTCAAGGAATGGAAGATTAAACACGATCAAAAGGGCCCTAATTAGGACCAACAGATGACTTAATAGTTACATCACTGGACTCCCATGTAGTCAACCATAGTTCAAGTCCCAGACCCGGCAGCTTAAAACTCACACCGGGTACATGTGCCTGTGTGCCCAAGATCCCAGGAGAATAGAGGAGAAGGGATTGCAGTGTAGCCATCCCCCCCCAGGGGGGTGATTTCTCACTTTCTATCTCTCTGTTTCTCTGATGAGCACAATGTGCCCTATAGCAAAAACCTCTCCCCTCCTAAAAAAAAATTCCTTTGGTGCATTAACAGAGGGCCTGGGTTTTCAAAGTATAATTGTTAAGCCTTTGGTCATGAAAGTGACAGCATTTGAAGATGAAGTCTAGGGGAATTGGGAAAAGAAGGCTAGAAACTTGGTTATAAAGGTTTTTTTTTTTAAAAAAATTGATAACATTCTCTGTAATGCATTATTTCTAAATTGGTAGGAATCATATTGTGCAGTATTTATTCCCTCTTGGAAAGCTGGTGATCTTCATAGCATGCGATGGTGTGATCTTAAATCCTTGAAAAGCATCCCTGGCAGCTCCAGCCTGCCCAGCGTTCTCAAATTCAACAAAAGCAATGTCGTGCCTCCCAGGTACCAAACGTACTTCCTTGAAGCCAGGGAACTGATTAAACAGCAAGGATAACATCATCTCGTTAGTCTCTTCTGGTAAATTATTAAGGAACAAAATAAAGTTTGGAGGGTAATCAGGAACCTGAGGATTTGGTGTTGAATTTCCTTGGGTATTGATTGAATTTGGTATTCCCTGGCCAGGTTTTTGGTTTGCGGTTGTGACAGCCTGTTCCACAGTTTTGGCTTTTTTCTTTTCTTTTTTCTTCTCTTTGTCAGCAAAAGTGCTACACATTTTAGATATTATATCGGAGTCTGTTTTTGCATACTGGGTTCGCATTGGTTTACCATGAAGAGGAAACCCTTATAACTGTCTCAAAGCGTTCATGGATGAGCTCAATTCCTTAAATATAACAGAGGCCTGCTCCCTCATCTTCGTGATCTTTAAAGCCACATTATCTACCCCATGGCCAGGCTGAGAAAAAAGCACATACAGGGATCTCTTCAATTCTTCTTTTTTAATTTTGTCGTTCATATTATTGATATAAATTGTATGATTTGGTCGGATATCCATGTTTGGGTTAGACTCTTCAAACAGCCAAGAGACAGTAGAGAATCTGAGGCCTACATGTCTCCTGCAGGAATTGAAAGCCGGAAGCCACAAAAATCTCTCTTTAAAAAGAAAAATAAGTAGGTCCTGGTCAGCACGGCTGGTCACAAGAGCACAGGAGAAATATTTGCCTTCGGGGTTGTTGTGTATTACCACATTTGCTTATGGCTGCATAGTTACTGGCACCACAGCTAGCACGTATTATTGTAGCCTGCTTTTACCTGAGTAGAGTGTATGGTGGTTAGGCACGGATCCACATGGTCCACTCTGTGGTTTGAGTTCTGGACCCAGCGGCTTGGGGGCCGAGAGTTATCTTCAGATGCCTTGAAGGTACCACTGGCGTCAGACTGAAAGAAATGTCACTGTTATTAGGTACCAATTCACAATAGTTTGCAAAGTCAAATGTTTAGGATGAGAATTTCTTTATATCCTTTTTCTGTCAACTCTCATGCAATAGAACGATTACAGCTTTCTACATGTTTCCTTCCTTGTAGAAACAGCTGGTGTGGCAGAATGAGGAGAAAAGACATTTCTCCTTTTGCCATCCTTAGGCTGGCTCTGTAGGCCTGGCCTCCCTGCTCCCCAGGCTTATGGGCTGCGGCACTTCCTAGGGGAACTCTGGCTTCTGTGTGTTTCCCATGTACAGTTGGGATTGTCCCAAGGCCTTGACGACCTCACCTGCATCCCACAACCTACTCTGAGCTTGTCTGTGCACAGGAACAAAGGAATGTGTTGATGAAGCCTCCTTTAGGGTCTAATCTTTAATAGAGTCGAATTCCATGTAATTTTGTTGACCTTTGAAAGTTGTTCAAGGGCTGCTTCCGTTGAAAATACATACTAGTTATCCACCTTGGCATTTTGATTTAGTAAACAATCTAATCTCTTTCTAATGAGCATATGCTAGAAAAATGAGCAAAGGGGAGGAGAATGCATTGGATATTTGAGCTCAGTACCAGGCATGGGCACACAGCATTGAGTAGAAATGGTGTTAGGTTGGAAGAACTCTTGGATAAGCAGGCAAGATATACCAAGTTAGAAATATACTGTGGGGACATCAAAGGAACAGTCAGGGACATTAGAGAAACAAGGAGGGACAAGTGTAATGCCCCCCTGAGATGACCCAGGAAGGCCACAGTCAGGAAAGGAGAGGTCATCTAAGCAGAGGGAGATATTGGTAGAGAGGTGGTGGGGCAAGGGGGAGACTAGAGAATTTGCAGGGCAATAGGACTTGAATGGAAAGCCTGGAGTGGAGTAGAGAGTGGGGAAGAGATGAGCTTGGAGAGCCCGGCAGAGGCGAAATCCTTTATGATGCTGGCCTGCCCACAAAGGGACTTAGACCATATCCCAAAAGCAACACAACAGAGGCCATCGAAGGATCTGAAGTTCCTAGAACTTGGATTGCCCATAGTAACACTGACCTAAGCATCACATTTCACTCAGGGGGAAGAAATGGTTTAGGTTTAAGGTGGGTCCCCCACCGCTGACATTGTGGTGAACTTGCAGATGCAGAACAGATGTTCTGGACCAGCAGATGCCATAGCTATGTCATCGTTATGTCACTGGACTCTCACATGGCCGATGTGGTTGGAATCCCAGACCTGGTGGCTTGAAACTCACACTGGGCACGTGTGCGTGTGTGCCCAAGATCCCAGGAGAAGAATGGAGAAGGAGGGATTGCGGCATGGCCATTCCCCCTGAGGGGTGATTTCTCACTTTTCCTCTCACTGTCTCTGTCTCTCCAGCAAGCACACATGCCCTAAGGCAAAAATCTCTTAAAAAAAGAAAGAACAGAGATTCCGTAGAGCCTTTGGACTGGGAGCTCAACCCTGCCAGGTTGCCTTCAGGAACTGGTTGGCACCAGGGATAATTGATGGGCCTTTAATTGTGTCCCATAGGAAAGCTCTGCAGAGGACCTCCTCAGGTTAACATCTAAAAGTTTGCCTGAACTGACCAGCTCGGTAGAGGACGTGTCCTCTTGGACTGACAACGAAGACCAGGAGCCCGACGGGGAAGAGGACGAAGGAACCAGCTCATCTTCCATCCGGAGAGCAGTAAGTGCTCTGGCTTCCCAGGCTCTGCTCTGTTGGAATTGCGGTTTCCTGTAAGACCTGGGGTGCTAGGGTCAGAGGATAAGGGCTTGAGATAGTATGATAGAGACCAGGATGGGAAAGGACCACAGCACATTCTCTTTGTATTTTTCTCAGAATCTTCCAGAAGATAGATGAGGGTGAGGGTGATGCTTCTCATTTTAGGGAAAAAAAAAAAAAGTAAAGAATATAAGAGAGCAATTGGATCTTGAGGTCAGTGTGTATATCAATTTCTAGGATGCTCTATCATATAAACATATATATGGATTTTGTTGCTACTTGATAGAATATTTGAAAACTATTCTTACTGAATTTAAACTTAGACAGATTTATGGTTGAAAGGAAAATGTTAAAGTAAGACAAAAACCATCCAGACAACGTTATAGAGAATACGTCTTCCAATTTTATCAGGTTGGGACCTCACGTGGCTCATCTTTCTTCCTTCTCCCCACCTGTGACATTCCATGCCTTCATGGGGTGCTCTCGTGCCAGCTGGCACTCAGTCAGGAGGCCTTTGGGTGAGCTGCAGTGTGGCTCCTGGTCTCCTCTTTGTACCCCAGATCTTAAAGATGTGTCCTTTTTTAGCGTAAACTCTTGTTAGTCCTTGTTCCCCACACGACTCCTCTTTCTGCCATTTGGAACCCCTTATTCCTCCCCTGGGAACCCAGGCAGCACAGGTAAGCACTGAGAAATTCGCCTCGTTTGTAATAAACCCTGAGAAGGGGCCAGTCTGTAGCACAGTGGTTCAGTAATGTGTGGAGGAAGCTGGATCCCAGGTGGCCTACCAGGGTTTGAATCTCTGCCCCAAACATGTTGGGTGAATACATGTGCCCAGGATCCTGATGGGAGAGAGAATTGCTATGTGACCAGACTCTCTTTGGGGTTCTATCCTTCCTTCCTTTCTTTCTTTCTTTCTTTCTCTCTCTCTCTCACCATCTGGTATTTTAAAACAAATAGGCCTTAGAAGACTGAAAATACATCTCATTATATTTTCCACAATATGTTATCTTACTTTAAGGGAAAAATGGTTATTTTTCTTCTTTCCTTTTGGTCTTTGGAGATGCATGGTCACTGAGTGTGGTTGTCCTGATTATGGGCTACACAAAGGTATAGCATCTAAGAGAGCACCAGTTAAATTGCAAATGTCACAGAATTTTGGAGCCGCCAATGGCATGGTGGTTGGGGGTGCTGGATCCCCACATGGTTGACCATGGTTTGAGTCCAGACTTGACTTGCTTTCTCCCTTTCCCTTTCTCTCTCTCTCTCTCTCTCTCTCTCTCTCTCTCTGGTCATATTTAAAAAAAATAACAAATAGAAATAAATAAATAATAATTCTTTTAAAAAAACACATGTCACAGAATTTTATATTCATTATAACAAATTTCTGAAAGATGGTGCTAAAAAGTTTTGCTCTAACAAAATAGGTATATTAGGACAATTTGCCAGAAATGGAAGAAAAGCATCTGGAAGAAGAGGTGCCATTTTATGAGTTTCCCAGTGGCATGGTATGGATGGAGGATTAATTGCAAACCTTTTTGCAGCTGCTTCTCCCTCACAGGAGAGCTTTCTGAGAAGGCCACCCTCTGAAGCAGGCAAACCAGAGCTGAATAAACGGCGTGGAGATGGACAGTTTAAAAACAACCGTGTGATTATTCCTCTGTCTTTGAATTATACCATTCCATGGCTTTCCTTTTATTTTTAGTAAGACTAAAGGCTAAATTAATTTTCCTGGCATATACGCCCCTGTGACTGACCCCTACCGACTTCCTGACCTCACTTGCCGCACGCTCACCATCTGAACTAAGCAACCAGGGCAGAGAGGGTTGTTCCTGACGGCCACATGTTCTCCTGCCACAGGACCTTTGCAAATGCTGTTCTGTCCCAATGGAACCTTCTTTTCCTAACTGACTCATATTCATCTTTTGTATCCTATAATGTTACTTCCTCAGGAAGCTTCCTGAATACCCAGTCTCTGTAAATCTCAGCTCTCTTTCTGTGACCATGTGCTACTTCTATGAGTGACTTGTCACCTTCTGCTTTATTTTGTAGTGATTTGGTTAAAATATGCCTCTCCCTTGTAAACCCCCTAAGGTAAGGGTACATGATGGCTTCTTTGGGTTCTCAGTGCATCTCTAGAATTTAGCAAGTACGTCTATTATTGCGTTATAAACTAAGTTTTTTTTTAAAAAAAAAAAAAAACAGATAATAAGACATGCATTCATTGACTACCTGCTGTTTCCTAGCCTCTGGGCTAGATCAGGAAATAATGAAAAATGATAAAAATCCAGCTAGGTTTGTCCATTGTAAAATTTTATACCTATCCTCCTGGCTCACAGCTGACCACAGCTTGGCAGCCTCAAAGGGCCTTTGGGGGGTATCCAGGTTCCGACCTCCCTACCTTACAGGAATGTGTCCTGAATAAGCCTGAGCAACCACGTGTCTCTTCCTGCTACCTTCTCCCTCTGCTGTCTGTCTGTCCTTCACAGCCAAGATCTTCCATGAATCCTCCTTCTCTGTGCCTCCCTAGCCCCAGCTACTCCCTGTGCTGGGACAGTTATTGCGTTATAAACAAATTTTTTTTAAAAAAAAAAAAAAAACAGATAATAAGACATGCATTCATTGACTACCTGCTGTTTCCTAGCCTCTGGGCTAGATCAGGAAATAATGAAAAATGATAAAAATCCAGCTAGGTTTGTCCATTGTAAAATTTTATACCTATCCTCCTGGCTCACAGCTGACCACAGCTTGGCAGCCTCAAAGGGCCTTTGGGGGGTATCCAGGTTCCGACCTCCCTACCTTACAGGAATGTGTCCTGAATAAGCCTGAGCAACCACGTGTCTCTTCCTGCTACCTTCTCCCTCTGCTGTCTGTCTGTCCTTCACAGCCAAGATCTTCCATGAATCCTCCTTCTCTGTGCCTCCCTAGCCCCAGCTACTCCCTGTGCTGGGACAGCAGTTATCCTTGGCTCCTTATAACACAAGAAGCAGGGTAGAGTGTGGGACCATCTGACGAGCAGATTTCTCAACTCGTGTTCTGACCTTTTAACCAGACGTCCTGGCTAGCAGTTTTCCAGCCCGCCCCCAGCCCAGGGAGTTCCCCTCCCAGGCCCAGAATCTGGAGAGGGCACCTGCTACACAGGAGCCCTCTGCTCACAGCCATGCTCGGGAACATCTCAGCCAGCTCAGTAGAAAACTGTGAGCTCAGGGCCCTAACAGAGAAAAGCTGCAGCACATCTACACCCGCTCTGATAAAGCCCTTCAGGATTCATGCCACACAGCAGCTCTCTGTGGAGACATCGCAGTCTCAAACATTTTCTAAAATTTCCTAAGGCACATTCTCTTGCAGAAAGCTCCAAGAAATTATTTAATTGTCTAGGAATGTTTTTTAAGGGTTTCGCCATAGGGCTTGCCAGAGAGAGAAAGCCAGATAGAGACAGTGAGAGGGAAAATGAGAAATCACCCCCCATAGGGCCTCATCGTCATTTTCCTGCTGCGATCTGAGGAACACATGCACATGTGCCCAGTGTGATTTTCAAAGCACTAGGTCCAGGATTTGAACCACAGTTGACTGTGGGAATCCAGTGGCATAACCATTATGCCATCTACTGACCTGAGTCTGGAAATGTTTTTTTAATTTTTTATTATCATCATAATCTTCTTTATATTACATTGGATTACATATAACTTTACAGTGTATTACATTGCTTTTTCAAAAGGGAATGCCATGCAAGTCAGTCAGTACAAAGACATTAATCTCCCCGCTTCAACATTCAATATCTTTTCTGTTTTCCCCAATCATTATTATTATTATAATTATTTTTTAAAACAGTCAATCGCTATTTCGCATTTTGCTTACAAAAATACTTTGCCCATGGGAACCAGCAGTTAGCGTAATGGCTATGTCGCTGGACTCCCACGTAGTTGACCGCGGTTCGTGTCCCGGACCCGGTGGCTTAAAACTCACGCCGGGCACGTGTGCGTGCATGCCCAAGATCCCAAGAGGAGAATGGAGGAGAAGGGATTGCGGCGTG